TGGATCCTGGTCTGAGCCCGGTGTTGAGACCATTAGAACAAGGACATTGCAAATTCCCTGAGGTGGCAGTTGCCTACGGAGATTGTTGAATGCAGATTCCTAGGCCCAGTCCCAAACCATCATCATAAAAGACTCTGGGTACTTGCCTTTTAATTCCTGAGTATCAGGAAGCTGCCTTTTAATAAGCCTTCTGAGTGATTCTTAGGCTCAGCCAAGTGGGAGAACCTCCGCCTTCAGGCATGTACAATAGGCCTCCTTCCTTTAGGTTTCTGGCTCACAGAGTTGGAGAGAATTGAATCTGGGAGTTTCTTAAATTAGCATAACTAGGTGTTTTGGTCACGAATCAGTAAGTCCAGGATGTGAGAAAATAGCTCTTGGAATCCAACTGACACCGCGGCCTTGCCTATGTTCTGGAAGCCTTTTGGAGCTGGGCAGCAGTACACAACCTGAGGGTAAGAAGGGGCATGGCTCCTGGTGGTGACAACATATCAGAATAGGCTTTCAGAGACATTTTGCAGTGGGTCTGAGCTGAGAGCTAGTGCGGCTCCCCTACTCACAGGATACCAAGCAGCAGAAAGAAATCAATCCACTGAGGCTCTCCACCTGTGTAGCTGGACAGCTGTTAGAAAGTGGTCAGGATTAGGGAAGCCTGGTGGCTCAGTTGGTGGAGTGTGGCGCTTTTGATCTCGGGGTTGTGGGTTTGAGCCCCACCTTGAGCATAGAGATTATTTAAAAATAAAATCTTAAGAAAAAAAGTGGTCAGGATTAGATGGCCCAAAGGAAGGGGCCTCAGGTGAGAAATCAATCGGGATGTGGAGGCCAAAGATTCTTACTAATCCAGAGAGGAGACATCAGGGGGCACCCATCCATCCCATTATAAAAGAAGTATAAATAAATTGTGCTAGATTGTATTATGGTTTGCAATGATAGGCTGAAAAGCCTTCTACTCCTGGAGGAGAACACAGGCAGCAACCTTTGTGACCTTGGCCACAGCAACTTCTTACCAGACACATCTCCAAAGGCAAGGGAAACAAAGGCAATAATGAACTATTGGGACGTTATCAAGATAAAAAGCTTTTGCACAGCAAAGGAAACAGTCAACAATACCAAAAGACAACCAACAGATGGGAGAAGATATTTGCAAATGGCACATCAGATAATGGCTAGTATCCAGAACTATAAAGAACTTATTGAACTTAACACCCAAAGAACAAATAATCCAATAAAGAAATGGGCAGAAGACATGAACAGACATTTCTCCAAAGAAGACATGCAAATGGCCAACAGACACATGAAAAAATGCTCCACATCACTTGTCCACAAATCAAAACCACAGCGAGATACCACCTCAAACCAGTCAGGATGGCTAAAATGAACAACTCAGGAAATGACAGATGTTGGTGAGGATGCAGAGAAAGGGGAGCCCTGGTACACTGTTGGTGGGAATGCAAGCTGATGCAGACACTTAGAAAGTAGTATGGAGGTTCCTCAAAAAGTTGAAAACAGAAGAGCGATCCTATGATCCAGCAATTGCACTACTGGATATTCACCCCAAAGATATAAATGTAGTGATCCAAAGGGGCACCTGCACCCCAGTGTTTATAGCAGCAATATCACAATAGCCAAACTATGGAAAGAGCCTAGATAAAATGAAATCTTGCTATTTGCAATGATGCATGGATGGAACTAGAGGATATTATGCTAAGTGAACTAAGCCAATCAGAGAAAGACAATAATCATATGATCTCACTCATATGTGGAATTTATGAAACAAAGCAGAGGGTCATAGGGGAATAGAAGAAAAAATAAGATGGAAATAGAGAGGGAGGCAAACAATAAGAGATGGTGAACTGTAGGAAACAAATTGAGGGCTGCCAGAGAGGTGGGGATGGGGGGATGGGGTAATGATGATGGACATTAAGGAGGGCAGGTGATGCAATGAGCACTGGGTATTGCATAAGCTTGATGAATCACTGACCTCTACCTCTGAAACCAGTAATATATGTTAATTAATTGAATTTAAATGAAATAAGACTTACATTAAAAAAAAAAAAACCTTTCTAATTCCCCACTCCGGGACCTGGCTTGCCCACATGACTTGCTTTGGCCAATCACATGTGATTGGGATTGATGTACTCCACTTCCTTACAGAAATGTTAAGATCTGTCATCTGGTTCTGCTATCTCTCATTTCCTTCCTTTGCCCTAAGACCTGGTTGTCTCAGGTTGGGTCCGCCCTTAGCCCAGATTCCAGAATGAAGACGACATGGGGAAGAATTGCAGCCAGCCTGTGAAAGCCACATAACGGAGCAAGAAAGAAATTTTTCTTGTTATGAGCACTTGGGATCTTACGGTCATTATTACTACAGCCCAACCTAGCCAGAGCTGACCAGTAAAGAAATAGTTTTTTAGGATTGTAAAAGCAAAGTGGTAGTGTTATAATGGATTTTTAGGGAAAATTACTCATAATTCCTTCCCTACCCTAAACAGTCTTAATCTTCACATATGTTGACATGCAAATGTGCTGAAACAGACCATTATGTTTTATGTTGCTTCTACCTCTGAGTTTCTTCGGAGGAGCCTGGTGGTGGAGGAGGACCTAGTCCCCACTAGAGGAGGCCAGAGGGAAGGGCTGTCTGTGGAGCCACTGCTCAGCACAGAGCCTCCTGTTGTCAGGCAGTAAAGTGAAACTGAGCAAGACCACTTCCTCAGCATCCTCAGGCTCTTGGAAAAAGGGATGCCAGGTTATTTCTTCTTTTAAAAAATATTTGATTTAAATTCAATTTGCTGACATTTGGTGTAACACCCAGTGCTCATCTCATCATGTGCCCTCCTTAATGCCCATCACCCGTTATTTCTTTTATCACAATCTATCGTGCCTGTTTACTATCCTGCCAAGGCAGGGTTAACATTCAGCTCTGTTCTATGATCTTCTATTTCCTAAATATTCAGTCCCACTATAGACTGTGAACCTGCATGCAGTAAGGTGGAATTTATAGGAAGTCAGCACCAAACAATGCAGGCGTCAGCTCTTCCCTTCTGGAGGCTACACTCTGGTGGGGTGTAAAAATAAATAAATTTAATATATATCGAATAATTACAAATTGAGTAAATCCCCCAAATGAAACACAGGGCGCTCTAATGGATTGGAAAGGCAGAGACAGCAGGAAAGAATCTATTTAAGACAGAATTTTTTAAACTGCCAGCTGGGAAACATTAGGGAACCCCAAACTTATGTGCTCATGATCACATTAAAAAAAAAACAAGGGGGATCCCTGGGTGGCGCAGCGGTTTAGCGCCTGCCTTTGGCCCTGGGGCGTGATGTGATCCTGGAGACCCCGGATCGAGTCCCACATCGGGCTCCCTGCGTGGAGCCCGCTTCTCCCTCTGCCTGTGTCTCTGCCTCTCTCTCTCTCTCTCTCTGTGTCTCTCATGAATACATTTTTAAAAATCTTTAAAAATAAAAAAAATTAAAAATGAAATAGAACTGAATGGAGGTGAATAGAAGAGCATCCAATGTGGTAAGCGTTAGTGTCGTCTTGTGCAACCATCATCTCTGTGGATATACGTGTTATCTGTTTATGTAGCTGCTGGCTCGTAATATAAAATGTAGTTGTTATAATGGGTTATGGTTAAAAATAAGTTTGAAAAACTAATAAAGAGCTGGCCTCTGATGACCAAGATGGGAACAGGATCGGTGTCCTCCAGGACACGGGGGAAGGCTAGCATGGTCGAAGCATGGAGAGCAGGAAGATAGTTCTGGATGTTGGTCAGTGCTGCAGAGGAGGTGGGATTGAATCTCAATGAGCCAGGTTGGCCCTGAGAAGGAATGTGGATTTTGCTGGAAGTGAAGGGGCAAGGTTTAAGAAGAGAAGGGATTTTAAGGTTACTGCCCGAGTGTGGATTTTAGAGGGCTCACAGTCTGGAAGCAGGAAGCCTGGATCGGATCCGTTGGAACTCACATTCATTGTGAGGGATTTTAGGATCCAGGGCAAACCTCACCTGTTTTTAGAAGCCTTCCTGCTTTCCTCAGGCAGAGCCAGTCTCTTTTTCTTAAATTCACCGTGTTCCCTTAAACAGGTAGCCCATTTATGCTTTCCTCCCAGTAGACAGGGTCCCCTGGGTGGCCCCCGGCCCTGGGCTGCCACATTACTCTTCCGGGGAGGAAATGGGATATGGGGGCGCCTTGGAAGCCTCTGTGGGTACAGGCTGCCCGTCCAGCTGGCAGGGGGCTCCCTGGGGAATGTATGTTTGACTTTCTATTCCTGGTTAATATAAGTTCAAATGTTTACGGATGTTTGAAGCTGGGATGAAAGCATTTCTATTCATGCTGCTCGAATCTGTGAGGCTTTTTTTTCTTTTTTTTTTTCTTTTACTGAGAGCCCACAGCAAAACTTGGGTTGCTTGGCTGGGGAAAGGAATGCGGTGCGAGGAGGGAGGCGGACCCCGCCGCAGGCACCGCGGCGGGAGCGGGAAAGCAGAGCCCCGGGCCTCCGCAGCACCCGGGTCGGGCCTGCAGGGCGCGGGAGGGCGCGGGAGGGCGCGGGAGGGCGCGGGGCGGGCGGGCCGCGGCCGGGGGTGCGCAGGCCCGGGCACAGGGTCGGGGGGGCGCGGCGCGGCCAGGGGCGCCCGGCCGAGCCCACCCAGACGGGCCCGGGCTCCGGGCACCGCGCCGCCGCCGTCTCGCCCCAGACATTCCGTTTCTGCCGCCGGAATGCGCCGACCGGCTCCCGCGGGCCCCGGGCGCCGCGCCCGGTGGCTCCTCCCGCGCTCCGGCGGTGGGCGGGGCGGGCGGGATGTGGGCGGGGCGAGCGGTGGGCGGGGCGGGGCGCGGGGGTGGGCGGGGCGCGGGGCGGGCGGTGGGCGGGGAAGGCGGGATGTGGGCGGGGAAGGCGGGATGTGGGCGGGCGGTGGGCGGGGCGAGGGCGGGCGGGGCGCGGCGCGGCGGGACTTTAAATTGGCCGCCAGGGCGCGCGGCTCCGGTGCTAGGCTGTGCCGCGAGCCGACCTTCGACGGCCGACACCTGCCGGAGTGCGGAGCCCGCTATGCCGCGTCACCTCTCGGGACTGCTCCTGCTGCTCTGGCCGCTGCTGCTGCTGCTGCTGCTGCCGCCGCCGGCCCCCGCCGCCCCCGGCCCCCTGACCCGCCCGGGCTGGCGGAGGCTGGGCACGCGCGGCCCAGGGGGCAGCCCCGGGCGCCGCCCCACTCCGGCCGCCCCCACCCGCGCGCCCCATCCCGGGGCGGGCCAGCCCGGCGGGGCCCGCGGCGCAGGTACGGGGGCGGGAGTGGGACCCCCCGCTTGGGAGGGAGCAGCCGGCCGGGAGGAAGGGGGGGTAGGGAGGGAGGGATGGGTCGTAGGGAAGCGGAGCATCGAGCAGGAGACGCCCCTTGAAGCCGCCAGGTGCTTGGTCCATCCCAGCCTGAGCCAGACTGCGATGCGGGAGAAGGAATTCCCTCCCCCATGAATCCTGTAGGGAAACAGGTCCAGAGAAGGGAGGGGATGCCCAAGGTCACTCATAGTCGGGGCTAGAATTTGGGTCGCCTGAAGCTCAAACTCCAGCCACTTTCCCTGGAAGATGAGGCAGCGAGGGAACACCTGCGCCTCCCAGCCCCCTGTGCCAGCCCCCAACTGTGCAGCTGAACAGACCCTTCCCGAGACTCTGCCTTCGGTTCTCAGGAATCACTTCATCTATAGCCCCAGGTCGGTGTGTGACCCTCCTTCCTCTGGCCTCAGCCTTCAAACTGTCTCCGTCCAGTCTAGGATCTGGACCAAAATTCAGACTGGAATTCACACCAGGGAGTGGGGGTGGGAAGCCAGGAAGGAAACCCAAGGGGTCCCCTGGATGGCCCCAGATCTCTGTTGTGACCATCCTGGTCTCCACCTCTTCTGCCCCTGACCAGGTCTTCTGTTTGAACAGACTGGGTCCCAATCCCAGCCTGTACTCTCTTAGATCCTCAAACACCCAAGACACTGGATCTTTCATGAACAATTCCATTGCCCTTTTTGGTCAGTAGTTGGTTCCTCTGGCAGAGGTTCCTAGAGCAGCAGTTGGAAGATCATCTGACACAACCCTTAAAAGCATATAAACTGAGGCTTATCAAATGACTCAGGAAATCAGTGTCAGAGCCCAGAATAAAACTCAGGGCTCCAAAATCCTACACAAGGATCTTTCTGCTGCTACCATCTACCAGGCTCTTGAAATTGTTTATGTAAAATTTGGTCTTCATTACCAAAACATCCAGTGTCGGTCTTGCTGAAGAGAGGCTGCACCAAACCATTTTCTGCGTCTCCAATCTCATTCATCCAGGGACTCAAGTCGATCTCTTTTGTCTATGCCCTTCTGCACCTTCCTGGATAATGTTGAGAAAGAGCACAAAAGATTCTTTGCTGCATCAGCTCCAACGGGCTGGATCCGAAATGGTGACAGCATTGTCTTTGAGCTGGAGTACCACGGTTCACAAGGATTAAATTCAGAGGGTGGGTGGGTTGGCAAGTGTAGGGAAACCTTTCTTCTAAAAGGCAACCTGGCCTCTGGCCCTGACACACCTCCCTTGGGAGCGGGACTGGGAGAGAGAGGAGGGATCTGCGCCAGTTGTTCATGTTCCCCCAAAGCAGCACTGGCCCTGCATTACTTGGAATCCAAACTGATCTTGCTTGAGTGATAACCCCTTAATAAACATCATATTTCACTCTTCCCCAAATTCCCTCCTTTTTGCAACTGGAAATTGCTACACTTTGCTATGGGCTTTTGTTTCTAGCAGGACTATCAAAAGTCAGCAAAATTGGAAGTATGGAAATCTTTTAGGAAATTCAGATTCTCCCCTTCTTGGTATCTGAGAGTCAAAGTGCTGCAATCTAGTAAAGGGGAGTGAGATTCAAAGACAATGATGTTGCAGAGAGGGTCCAAATCGGGAGTAAGCAGATGCTCACAGAATTCCCCGCCATCCTTGGTGAAGGCCTATATTAGATTTCTATTGCTGCTGTAACAAATTAGCACAAACTTAGTGACGTAAAAACAGTACACAGTTATTATCTACGAGTTCTGTAGATCGGAAGTCCCGTACTAGTCTCAAAGGGCTAAAGTTGTGTCAGCAGGACAGTGTTCCTTTGGGAAAGATTTTGGGGAGGCTGTTTCCTTGCCCGGTTCAGCATGTAGAGGCTACCTTCACTCCTCGACTCATGGCCTTTTCGCTATTTTCAAAGCCACCAAGGGCAGGTTGGGACCTCCTTCACATCTCCTCACTCTGATCTCTCCTGCCTTTCTCTTCCACTTTTCGAGGCCTCTGTAATTACACTGGACCCATCCCAATAATCCAGGATAAACTCCCCATCTCCAGGTCATTAATATAATCACATCTGCAGTCTTTTTTTTTTGCCATGTAAAGTAACCTACTTACAGGTTCTGGGGGTTAGGACCTGGACATCTTTGGGGGGAGGGAGCTTTATTTTGCCTACCATACCTCCCGTAACCTCCCATAAAGGATTCCGTGTGAGAAGGAAGGAATCCTGCACATTTACCATGAGAATATAACCTTGACATTAGTAAGGATACCATTTGGGTATTAGTGAAATCACTGTCAAATATGGATTTCATATCACCATGTATTTTTCCTTTTATTCCAATTATGTAAAAATACCTACATCTATGTCCAGGAAGGATTTTCATCATAATTATTCTTCCTTGCTCCTGTTTCATGGTAATTAAGGGATGAAATGAAATTCGAGAGTTGTTTTAAAAAAAAAAAGACTTAATTTCTTTTGACTTAACTAAATACATGACATACAGCATATTTCAGGTGGTGGCTCAAAGTCAACAAGCAGGATGTTTATTTACTGGGTACATGAGATAATGTTGATATTTTTGTGGTGGAAAATATTGCCTCAGAAAGAGAGGCAACCATTCAGTGAAAAGCCCCATTAGGCTGGGAGTCAGGAAACCTGGAGTCCAAACCACGACCTGCTGTTTTCTGGCTCACACACCTTCCAGAACCTCAGGCTTCTCACCTATAAAATGGGTATTAGAAACAACCTCTGCATCTCTGACTTCACAGGGTTGTTTTATTTGTATCCTGTGATCTCTAAAATGTTCTTGAAAGTAAGGTATGGTTTATTTTCTTAATTGAATACCTCTGGGAAGCAGGATAAAACTGAGAGGATAATTTTCCATTTTTAGAAGAAAACTATACGGAGGCATCATTCCTGTTCCAGATAGGGCTTTTTCTGTCATAAACTGTCTTGCCTAGGAGTTTGTTTTGAATCTATCTTTTCCCCTTAATCACTGAATAAATTGCTTTCTTATAGTAGCGTCACCATCCAGATCCTGGAAGGAAAGAACCCTGGTTGATGCTTTATGCCCAAGCACCAGTCACATTTCCATTTAGGACATTAGGGGTGTGTGTGTGTGTGTGTGTGTGTGTGTGTGTGTGTGTGTGTGTGTGTATAGAGGAGGAGGAATGACTCGGAAAAGATGTTTAATTACTGTTTTTTCTCTCAACCAATCCTGACTTTTGGACTTGATTTTGGTGGCTAGGAGAAGAAGGAATGTAGAACAAGATTGGGGGGAAAGGGGAAGAAAGAAGAGATGAAAACGAGCACGTGTGTGGTTTATTTCGTTTTCTTTTTTTTTTTTTTTTTAAAGATTTCATTTAGGGGCATCTGGGTGGCTCAGCTGGCTAAACATCTGCCTTCTGCTCAGGTCATGATCTCTGGGTCCTGGGGTTGAGTCCTATGTCAGGCTCCCTGCTCAGTAGGGAGCCTGCTTCTCCCTCTCCCTCTGCCCTGCTCCTCTCCCCCCCCAACCCCCTCTGCTCTCTTGTTCGCTCACTCTCTCTATCTCAAATTTCTCAAATGAGAGAGAGAAAGGGAGACGGAGAAGCAGACTCCCCTCCCCTAAGCAGGGAGCCTGATGTGGGGCTCAATCCCAGGACCCCAGGATCATGACCCAAGCCAAAGACAGACGCTTAAATAACTGAGCTACTCAGGAGCCCCTAAGATGTGTGGTGTTATTACAAGGTACTTGGTACTTTTTTTTTCCCCCAGAGATTTATTTATTTGAGAGAACACACACACACACACACACACACACACACACACACACACACACGATCTCAAGCTGACTCTGCACTGAGCACAGAGCCAGCTCAGGGCTTGATCTCAAGACTCTGAGATCATGACCTGAGCCGAACGCTTAACCCACTTGTGCCACCCACGTGCCTGGTGCTTGGTACTTCTGAGTAGGAAACATACAAGCTTCTTTGATTCTGTAGCCCCAGGCTTGAATACATGACATGTCTCCAGAAAAGTATTTGGTGAATGAAAAAATGGAAGAGATGACTGTGGGAGTTTGGTGGGGGGCAGAGGGTAGACACCAGTGGGCATCTCTGCTCCTGAAAACCAGACACACGCAGAGTTGGAAGCATGACAGACATGGATCAGATTAAGTTGTCATTCCTCTTTTCACTTTTAAGTATCTCAGACTCACGGGGTTCACTAAAGCCTGATGAATGATGAGAAGGAGGGGGGGGCTGAATGGGGGCAGTTTTTACCCTCCTGGTGGTGAAGTAGAAGAAGAAAGCCTCCAGGAAAGCACCAGTGTGCTTGTCTCTGATGCAGCCATTGCCTGAGGTATCTGTGAGGCCTGGGCAGGGCAGTGAGGCTGTCCTGAGTTCACCTTTCACGCCATTTAGGGACACTGTTCCATTGCCCTGTCCCATGGTCCCATGGCCCAGGTGCCCAAGAAAGGTCTGGAAACCTTGGGAGTCAAGAGGAACCTTGGGAGCTATACCTGAAGCAGAGGGATGAGGTTGTAGGTGGAAGTTTGGGGTTCAGCCAGCCTGTAGGGAGATATTTGGAGGAACTTCACCTCTTCTTCTGTGAATTCTCATAGGGAATTTGGAAGACCTTGGTGCTTTCAACCTCTAAAGGGAGGATGGTCTTGGGGACGAGAGCAGATAGTAGCGCCTCCAACCCCAGGGCTCTCCGAGGATTGCCCTGTCTCTGATTGGGATCCCATCATTGCTCAGCCATGCTTGTTGCCCACACCTTTCTCTGCAGGTGTTTGCAAGAGCAGGCCGTTGGATTTGGTGTTCATCATCGATAGTTCTCGCAGTGTGCGGCCCCTGGAGTTCACCAAGGTGAAAACCTTTGTCTCCCAGATAATTGACACTCTGGACATTGGGGCGGCGGACACACGGGTGGCAGTGGTGAACTATGCTAGCACCGTGAAGATTGAGTTCCATCTGCAGACCTACTCGGATAAGCAGTCCCTGAAGCAGGCCGTGGCCCGGATCACACCCTTGTCTACAGGCACCATGTCGGGCCTGGCTATCCAGACAGCCATGGATGAGGCCTTCACCGAGGAGGCAGGTGCTCGGGGGCCCACTTCCAACATCCCTAAGGTGGCCATCATTGTGACAGACGGGAGGCCCCAGGACCAGGTGAACGAGGTGGCGGCTCGGGCCCGGGCATCTGGTATTGAGCTGTATGCCGTGGGCGTGGACCGGGCAGACATGGAGTCCCTCAAGATGATTGCCAGTGAGCCACTAGATGAGCATGTTTTCTACGTGGAGACCTACGGGGTCATTGAGAAACTTTCCTCTAGATTCCAGGAAACCTTTTGCGGTAAGTCTTTGCTCTCAACTAGAAAGGATGTTATATTCAGATGTTGTGTATCCAAAGAAAAAAAGATTTATTCTTTTTTTTTTTTTTTGTGGAAACTTTATGGAAAACTGAAATATAAGCAGTGCGTTCCTTGTGTTTTTTCCCAACTTAAACACACTTTGTTGGTTTAGGAATATAGAGTTGCTTTATATGTAACTTGGTTTGCTCATAAAAATCTTCATGTTTGCATTAGAAATGTGAAGGTCTGGAAATATCCAGGATAAATGATCCTGCTGTTCCCTGATGAGCTCAGAAAAAAATAAAAATGAAAAACTCAAGACACCTCTTTTCTCCTCTCTGCCCACAACTCCATTTTTCCTAGATATTTTCTTTAGCTTTACCATCTCAGGATTTTAACAGAACTCTGCTTGTTTTCCTGCAGAAGACAGGGAGCAGCATCTGTCTGCCCATGGAAGGATCAGTTGGTGTTCCAGTGTAACTGTCAGGGTTTTGCTTATTCTCTAGGTACTCTTAGTTTTCAGATTCTGCTCTTCATCTGATAATTCTTTGTGGAGGGACAGGATTAAGAACCAGGGGTGGGAGGTGGGTGGGATTTCACTTCACTTGTGAGGTAGCCAGAAGCAGATTAAAAAAAAAAAAAAAGATTGTTACTGTCCTTCTGTCTTTTCCTTTAGGATGGAGTTTGAGAATAAGCATGCTAATTTAATTGGAACTAATTTAATTCATTTAGCATGTATCAGTCAAATCCATTAATATGAATCCATTTACTGCTGGGCTCTATTTTTAGATCAGAATTATGAATGTATGAAACATATTTTTTTTTACTTTTAAGTTTCTCCTTTTCTTTGCATCCATCTATCTGTCTATATGTCTGTCTTTCTATCTATATTCATGCTTTATTTATTTTTTATCATTTAGAGATAGTGTTTCAAAGCCATCTGCGGAATTATCCAAACAGTTGTGGGCAAATTTCTAGTTCAGGTGAATTTTTAAATGTAGATACCTTTTGCTGTATCACCTACTCCCCATCTCTTTATTTGATACATATTAGTGGATCACTGATGACACAAGGATAAAGGTATCTTTACAAAGACAAATGTACCTCCCTACTTTCAAGCAGTAGTCTGCGGATGGTGATGAGACACATAAGTGAATCCATAATTACAATTGTGAATTTCAACGAGACTTTATATCAAAATCACTGTGGAGCTCAGCAATCACCCTAGTTTGTCAGGAAATGGGAGATGAAGTCTTGGTCTGGAGCAAAGTTTGGCCTCAACTCAGCCAGACCTGGCTGGTGGCCCCTTGTCTTTCCTGTCCCAGGACACTGGGCCTTCACAAGCTGTCCTTGGCTTTGGTGGCATCTACTTGGTATTCATTGGTTTCTCAAAAGAACATGGCTTTCTTTCACCCAGGAAAACCCCCTGTGCTTGCGGGTGAGAGCTTTTCCATAAAGACACTGGCCTGTGGCAGAGTTGGGTCTCAAAGCTAGCACCTGGGGTTGGGCTTGCAGGCCATAAAGTAGCAAGTGGTGAGTGGTGATCTTTTCCTTCTGGTACAAAAGACCTGCTTGTTCTGGGGGAAAAAATGTCCTCTCTATGGAAAAAAGACTGAGGGGCAGCTTGTTGTAGTCAACGGGTTGGAAAGATCGCTCCATGAAAAGGCCCTTCTTTGGGAAAATATTAGCCTTGACCTGTTGCCAAAACAGTCGAGGCTGGGTTACCTGCCCAGGGGTGCCAGCCTCCTCCAACAGGCCTCCTTGGTTTCTCAGAAATGACTAAATTCATTGATTTTTCTTTCAAAACATGTCACTAGGAAAAAAAAAAAATCCAACAAGATATAAACACCTCCAGGAGTGAAAAGATGGGGATGCAGCCTAGCTGACATAATCTCATTTATTCCATTCTTCCTTTTCTTTTTACCTGCTTGTGTTGAGCATGGGAGCCCATTCACCTTGTAGACGTTAGTGGCCATGAGGCTGCCTACGTGGACGTTTAGGCTCATGCATCCGTGCTGCTCATTCAGAAGGCAGTTACCTGCCTTGCCCTCCATCGTTTACATGTTCACATCTGTAACTCGTCCAAGAATGAGCGAGTTCCAGGCTGAGAGGCTTACCTGTGTGTGAATTCTGTTCTGACCCAAACTGTAGAGCCCTTGGAAAGCAGATTCTGGCTGCAACAGGACAACTAGCTCATAGATCTTCAAGAAGTATGTTGTAGTTCTCCCCATGTCTTGAGTTGGGAAGTAGAAGCCTTCTTCCTGGGCCAGGTGGATACATTGAATAAAATATCAAGTTGTCTGATCCCTGTAAGTGTTTGGCTTCAGCTCCAAATTCAAAATTTCCTTTTTCTTTGAGAAAGCTGACAACGAGATCTATAATTTTAAACTAGTAACATGATTAATGTGAGAGTGGTATTTCCAGTGAGCCAGAGGCAGAAAACAGGCAGTTTTTAGAGTGCACTATAATTGAAAAGGAACCAGAGAGCAAGGCCTTTTTTGACATGGAAGAAAGTGTCTGGAATGTTTTTGATGTGTCCATACTGATTCCTATAAACTTCCCATGCACAGCTTCGGACCCGTGCGCACTTGGCATACACCAGTGCCAGCACGTGTGTGTCAGTGATGGGGAAGGCAAGCACCACTGTGAGTGTAGCCAAGGATACTCTTTGAACGCCGATATGAAGACATGTTCAGGTGAGGCCCGCTTCAGGGAGAGTGCCTGGCTGGGACTTGTCTGGGGACCTACTCTCCTGGCCATGGACCGGCCTTCTGCTTTTCTCCTAATTGCTCTTTAGTGGGTTCCCTGTTGCTTATCAGTGTTTTTCCTCCAAAACTGTTGGAGAGAAGTGAGGTAATACATGAATCAGCTTATTTATAGTTCTTATAATTAGTTTTAGAGAACAGGGTTAGTAGGGAAATGGGTTAGTAAGGAAGGGAGTCAAAACTCTCGGTCCTTTTGAGGATTTGGAACTTGTCCTGGATTTTACTTGATTAAATACAAGCTGCCCCTTTGTCTCTGTGACCACAGCTGCTCATTGGATTTAGACACAGAAGAAAGTTTAGAAAGGTTCTTATTTATCTAGTATATGAATATACACACACGATCAGTAAAGATGGGAATTAGGGCCATTTTGGTTTAAATCCTCAGCAAAAGTTTCTGAGAGGAAGGAAACTACTCATTTTTACAGATGATGTAATTGAGAGCCAGGGAAGGAAGACTTACCCATGTCATGGGGTCTGTTAGTGAAAGAGCCAGCACAGAAATCAGTTCCCAACCTCCTGTCCTGGGGCTTTTCTGTTGTGCTAAGCAACCTTGTTTAGGTAGTGAGATGTGTGTGTGTGTGTGTGTAGTACTCTTAATTAATTTGCCACGTTTTCCATGCATTCACCTTTGTCCTGATGATCTTTTGATAGCTATTGATAAGTGTGCCCTTAATACTCATGGATGCGAACACATCTGTGTGAACGACAGGACTGGCTCTTATCATTGTGAGTGCTATGAAGGCTATACCTTGAACGAAGACAAGAAGACATGCTCAGGTAAGTGGGGGAGAAGGCTTTATTTTTGCTACCTCCCTCTCTGCATACCTACCTAGCCAGTATTGGAGGGTAGGTCACGCTGACAAGGTACTTGGTTTTTCTCTCTTGGGCATTTGCGATTTCTGAGCCTTCCTAGAAAAGTCAGAAATGGCAGTGTGTTATGTCTGTATCATGGCGCACATGGAGTGTGTTGTGCATTCCACTCTCTGTACCTCGCCCTGGCAGTGCTTTCCAAATGCTAAAGACAGTTTAGTGAATTACAATGAAAGAACGAAAAAATAAAATAAAATCAAAGAACGCTCTGGGGCGTCTGGATGGCTCAGTGGTTGAGCATTTGCCTTTAGCTCAGGGCATGATTCCGGGGTCCTGGGATTGAGTCCTGCATCGGGTTCCTTGCTCTGTGGAGAGTATGCATCTCCCTCTGCCATCTGCTCCCTCTGCTTGTGTTCTCTCTGTCTCTCTGACAAATAAATAAGATCTTTAACAAAAAAGACAAAGCAGTTGGGAAAGGAAGAATAAGGACTGTGCGCATAGGATTTTATTCAACTCCACTAACTTCCAATGTGAACCAATAGTATGGATGGCTGTGGAAGGTTTCCAATAGATTTGCTTCTTATCGATTTCTAGCTACAGGTAAGAAGATTTCTACATACAGGTAAGAAAAGACTTTTCCATTTTTAATTTCTTTTCTTCTGGACTTTTGTTTGGCAGCTCAAGACCAGTGCGCTTTTGGTACACATGGCTGCCAGCATATTTGTGTGAATGACAGAGCTGGGTCCCATCACTGTGAATGCTACGAGGGCTATACTCTGAATGCAGATAATAAAACATGTTCGGGTAAGGTCGCTCTACAAATTCTTTCATAGCTGGCACTTTCTGTGGCAGTGAAACCAACTTGCGATTCACACAGGAAGAGATTCTTGAAGATATTTGAAAGAATCGGGCTTTAGACCTTCCACCACGCTTATAGACTAACGCATGCATTGCTCAGACAGCAGTGAGCTCACTTGATTTTGCAAACATAGCACACTTTAGAAATGGGTAGGGAGTGAGGGCTATGAGAAACACTCGTTGAATGTAGCATCCTTATCCAGGAAAATTTTATGGCTCCGTCCACTGGGGACTTGTAAAGCAAATGGGAGCTTTAGAGGAAGTCAGTTGGACAGTAACTGTTTGGTGTGATAGGCTGAACTGATCTTTTTCCAATTAAAACTTGGCCTGGAACTTTTCTGTAGTGTTAATCTTAAAGCTGGATCCTTTTAGTAAAGGAGACTTTGTCAATGACTGAGTTAGACCCACACAGGTCTTCCAGTAAGTTGGAAGTAAGTTCTTCCCTGACAGTTTCTAGATGATCAATCTTCTGTGAATCTGAGCCTTATGACTTGGCTAATCCTCATTAATTTGATTTAAGCTCACTGGCAGAACAGGGGGGCATTTGTAATGTGAAAACACTTCTGAGAATTCCTACTGTTTAAGACGGTGTTTAAAATTTTGGCCTCATCAAACTTTTTAAAGATTTTTATATATATGCTCCAGGTTTCTCGAGGAGGGATATTATGTGACCTTTTCAAGAGAGACGAAGGGAAATGGCACATCACCAATTCCCTTAAAAAAAAAATCAATTAAAGAGTACTGAGCAACTATTTGGTTCCCAGGACTGTGCAAAGCACTGTGGGGATGTAGGGAAGCACATTTTCTGCCTCTGAGCAATTTACAGGCTGGGCACAGAAAAGAATGAACATCTTGAGAAAGCAGAGACTAGCCCAGGAGAGGGACAGACAGTAAGGGAGGGCCCACTTTGTATGCTATCAAGGGCAGGCCCTTGGTCATCACAGCAGCAAATTTATGTGAGCATCAAAGTTAGTTCCCTGTGCAAGTGGGTCGCTAATATGTTATTTTTGGTGATGGTGAAAATAATCCCTGTGTAGCTGGAGATGTTGGAGGCATTTTTGGGCATTGGGAGAAGCCAAAGGTAAGTTCTGGGATATAATCAAGTCTCAGTGCAGCCCCAGTACTCCAGGCAGGAGAAAAAGGGGAGGGGCTCCCAGATATTGGCAGGAAATGAGTAGGCAAGGGGGGAGGCAGTAAAGGGAGGGATGTGGGATGTAGGCAAGGAAGACAGGTTTTCTTCTGAAAGCTGACAACTAAAGGGTTCATTCTAAGCATCTGTTGCAACCAAACCAAAGCTTTTTTTTCTCTCAGAAATCCATGTTTACTTTCCTATTGTAACCTGGGAATGTTTTCTCTCCTGCCCTGCTCTTGGGCAGTTGGCAGCAAGTGTGCTCAGGGCTCTCACGGTTGCCAGCACATTTGTGTGGACGATGGGGTGGCGGCCTATCACTGCGACTGTTACCCCGGCTACATCTTGAATGAAGACGACAAGACGTGTTCAGGTAAAGTCTGTTCCTTCTAGCCTGTTTTGTTTGGAAGGATCATCTTCTAGGAGGAAGCTTTCCTCTGGTCCAAGTCCTCTGGAGGCCCTCGGCTGTCTTCCCAGCCATTCTTCCCTTGTGATTCTTTCCTCTCTCTTTGTGTTTCTTTCTAATCAGTCTTTTCCTAAGTTGGATTTTTTTATTGTGGTGGTGGTGGCAGTAGATCCACATAATGCACAATTTCGCATTTTAACTGTTTTTAAGTGTATAGTTCAGCTGTGTTATGTGCATTTCTATAGTTCTGTGATGGTTCTGCTGTCCACCTACAGAACTCAATCATCCCAAACTGAAGCTCTGAACCTGTTCCCTTCTCTCCCCGCTCCTGGTAACCTCTCTTCTTCACCCATTCATTTCTTTTGCCTCTGCTGTCCACATTACGTGGATGAGCAGATATTCCAGCAACGTGCCCTGCCCGTTTCCACCCTTTGCTGGGACCCCTTTCCCTCACCACTTTTACTTGTCAAAATCCAAGGACAACAATCCTTGCCAACATTGGGTTTTGTTGGATTCAATTTTTGCCAGTCTAGAGGAGGCAAAAAAGTGTCTCCCCATGGTCTTCATTTTTTCATTTCCTGGCTCCTCGAGAGGTTCAGCTCCTCTTCCTGTATTTATTGGTCATTTGAAATTTTTATTGGGAAATGCCACTTATGCACTTACTTTTCTATTGGGTTATTTGTATTTTTATTACTGACTCAAAAGAACCCTTCACATTTCTGGATATAAATTCTTTGTTGTCCTATGTGTTGCAAATATCTTCTAGTGTTTCTACTTTTACTTAAATGATGTCTCTGCAACAGTATTCATAATATTTTAATTCTTAAGTTATGTAATAGCTTTATTAATTAGTGTTTATTTTTATTATGCTTTATCACTTGCCTAAGTGTACTCTAAATTACTTTGTATGAGTCAAATGCTACAAAATAGTGTTTGTATGTATTTCTTTAATTCCCAGGCCTAGTTCAATCTTACCCCTCCTTCAGAGTTCCCCTTTCCCTTCCATTGGGCTCTGTCCTCTTTCAGCCCAGGACACCTTGTGTTGGGGTTACTTGTGTGTTCCTTCAACCATTCTATCAGCCATTCAGTAAATAGACCACCTACTCTGTTTTAGGCACTAGGTATATAATCGTGAACAAAACGGATATGGTCTTTGATAGCAGTCTAAGGGGAAAAGACAAGGAAATAGCAATTTATGAATGAAGAGCATGTGAAAAGAACAGGGTCCTGAGACAGTGGGGACAGTGGGGGTTAGAGAACTTACTTCAGGTTGGGAGTGTCTCTCTGAGGAAGTGACCTCTGAAACCCGAGGACCAGCTGTAGTTAGGTTGGGATTGGGGTGCTGGCAGAAGGAGGGAGGGCGGTGCCGAGGCTTGTGTGGTGGCTTCAGGGGGAGGGAAGGGGAGAGGCAGCCCAGTGTGAGGGAAGTACCAGCAGCCCAGGGAAGTGTGGTGCCAACATGGAGAGTGAGGCAGGGCCACGTCATCCTGATCTGTGGGGAGGGAAAGGAGTTTGTATTTTGTTCTATGGAAAATGGGAAGTTGGGGATCCCTGGGTGGCTCAGTGGTTTAGCGCCTGCCTTCGGCCCAGGGCGTGATCCTGGAGTCCTGGGATCCAGTCCCGCATCGGGCTCCCTGCATGGAGCCTGCTTCTTCCTCTGCCTGTGTCTCTGCCTTTCTCTGTGTAAATCTTAAAAAAAAAAAAAAAAAAAAAAAAGGAAAATGGGAAGTTGCTGGAGAGTTTTAAGGAGCTGTCCCTAAAAGTCAACAGAATTTGGACAGATTATATTTAATCAAGTGAATTTATGGTCACGTTAGCCCTATATCCTTTGTAGAATGTGGGAGAAAACATAGCAGTGAAGGACCATTCTCTGTCCTCAGATGATGGTAATGCTCAATTGGAAGATTATACATCAGTCTTCAGACCTGGGAAGTTACTCTTATTTCTATTAGGCAACTTTAGGGGCTACGATAGTGAGTAGGAATAGCTGCCTCACTGTATTTCAGAAAGAACTAGGAGTTAGCGTTATCATTCTCCCAGGTTCTTTACTTAAATGCAGATACAAACCTCAATTTTTTACTTCCAAAGTATTTATGGAACTTTCAGTTCAGACCATTCAATAGAATAAGAGTCTGTATAAAAAAAATCAGGAACTATCTGATTTCAATTCTTGAAATATTTTGGCCAAAGAGAGAATTGTTCTCATTTTCATTTCTTAATGAGGACATGGTATCATAATAAGATTAATTATCTTAGCTCTGTGTTCTTGGCTTCCCTACATCAACTTTTTACATATTTATATCATTGAAAGTTTCCAACAGTCACAAAAGTATATGAATGTAATGAACTCCACTATAATCAACAGCTAGGTTTGACAATTCCCAACAACTAATTCAATTTCTTATGACATTAATATTCCAAAGTATTTTTTCCTCTATGTGCTCTTATATCCTTTTACCTCCCAGAAAATGCATTTAAGTCTTACAAATGGAAGGACTGAATTGTAGATTTCCTGGTTTGCTATGATTTCTAACGAGCTATAACATAACTGTCGTCATCAGCTATTGAAGAAGCACGAAGACTCATCTCCACAGAAGATGCTTGTGGATGTGAAGCCACGCTGGCATTCCAGGATAGGGTCAACTCATATCTACAGAGATTGAATGCCAAACATATCCTTTCTGGAAGGTTTTCTTCTTTGAGCCATCCTAGGTAGTACAACTGAACCAAACATTTTAGGACATTCCATGGATAAGGGCCCTATTCATTACATTTTAAGATGAGCAATAGTAATACAGTGTTTACTTTTTTTCAGTCTTCTTTTAAAATGTTTTACTAGACTGTTTTGCTCACTTAATATTTACATGTTAAAAGCTGCCGAACTATTTTTCTCTAGTGCTTTTCCATAGCAGTATATGCTAATTGAGTTATTAACAGATGGAACTATTGTGCTGATTCCTTAATATGGGCTTTCTTAGTTCAGAATCTGTACATGTATGGAAGGAGTTGGCTGATTAGTGAGGGGATAGCTCAGATGACACATACTTTATGCTGGCCAGCCAAATGGTCAAAAGCAGATTTCAACATGTAACATGTACCATCCAAGAAACATTCAAAATCAGTTCTTTGACCAAAGGAATAACTCAGGAAAAGTACTTTTTCTTAGCCCAAGTTAACAACACTGTCCCTAGGGATCTTAGAGGAGTGGTATTCAAATTGTGATAGGAATATGGGGGGTGGGGCACAGAAAAGTTTTTACAAAATCCCTTTGTAAATCCTTAAATTGACCTACCAAAAATGCCACAGGGGGTCAGTTGGCATTTTCTGTTCCCATTCCTCACTTCACTTTGCCATTCTCCTAACTTTACAGAAGGAAGGCATACCTCTTATCTCACCTGAATCTTCTAACGTGAATTTCTTGGAAAAATAAAATCTCCAGAGAGCCAAAGGGACAGTTCAAAAGTTTTTTTTTTTATTGGAGTTCTATTTGCCAACATATAGCATAACACCCAGTGCTCATCTCATCAAGTGCCCCCCTCAGTGCCCGTCACCCAGTCACCCCCACTCCCCGCCCACTTCCCTTTCCACCACCCCTTGTTCGTTTCCCAGATCAACAGTTTTTTAAAATCAAGGCTTCATAAACACCACTCCCCCCAATTTATTCCATTAAGAGGTATTTTTCCAATTAAACTCTTATTTTCAGTAATTTTATGTCAACATTTATGATTTATTTGTCATTTGATCAATTATGTGCTCATAATAGTTGTAATGATAACTCAATCCCGATGATTAAAAAACCTGGGGGCCTTATGGTCAAAGAAAACTAAAGGTAGTTTTAATATAAGTGTTTGTGTGCTTTTTGCTTGTAAATTTTCCTCAAAGAAACCTTGGCGATCAAGAAAAGATTTTCAAGATTCAAAGTAGAATAAAATTCTGTGGAGAAAGTAGAAGGGAAATACAAATACAAGGAAACACAAATTGCTTTAACTATTTTATTTTAGACTTTGGTAGGTATCCATTCAGTGTGGTATTAGTATATAGGATACACTTGAAAGACCAATTTAGATTTTATATTTTAATTAAAAAATGTGGGATCCCTGGGTGGCGCAGCGGTTTGGCGCCTGCCTTTGGCCCAGGGCGTGATTCTGGAGACCCGGGATCGAATCCCACGTCGGGCTCCCGGTGCATGGAACCTGCTTCTCCCTCTGCCTATGTCTCTGCCTCTTTCTCTCTCTCTCTCTCTCTCTGTGTAACTATCATAAAATAAATAAAAATTAAAAAAATTTAATTAAAAAATGTTTTAAAGACGTATTTATATCTTTCAGAGAGAGAGAGACAGACAGCATGAGCTGTGGGGAGGGAGCAGAGGGAGACAGAGAGGGGATGCAGACTCCCCGCTGAGCACAGAGCCCAATGCAGGGCTTGATTTCAGCACCAATGAGATTGTGACCCAAGGTGAAACAGAGTCAGACGCTTAACCAACTGAGCCAACCAGGTGCCCCTAGATTTTATTTAAAAAAAAAAAATCATTATTTATGATATGGTAGAAATTGCATATTTTGTAACTGAAACTTAGGATGAAAATTTTCATATAGTTTAAATATGCACAGACATCACTTATTTGTCAAAATTATTTTAGGGGATAGGAGCAAAAATGTTTGCAGACAACTGCTGTGTATCATCATCTCTGAGGACCACTGCTTTATAACATGCTTTCTAAAGAATACCATTTGAATTTTAGAGTTTTGATGAGAATTTCACTTTTTCTTTATTTACAATAGAACGTAATTATTTTCTGTTATCTTGTATTTAAGTGTTTGAAAGTGTGTTTATGTTTTCTGATATCTAAAAATAAAAGGCATTGGCCTTAACAACTAGTCACTTGATGACATTTTGGGGAAGTTGCAAGCAGATGAATATGGACAAGTACGTCGTTGAATTACTCAGATTTTTCACCTGGAAATACCAAGAGCTTGATTTACTTCATATTTTTGCTACTTCAATGTTCCTGCTAATAATTTGCCATTGCAAATGCTTGAATATTACTGGATAAGTAGTATGAGGGTCTTTTTGGAGAATCAGTATTATTTTTTTAAGGAAATAAACGTTCAGATCCTTAAGAGCAAACTCTAGTGTCTCTAAGCTATGACTGTGAAATGATTCATAGGAAATAGAATGAAAAGTTTAATATTTCTTTATTTACCAGTTGAGCCATTTAATTTTTAAATGTTTATTTCATTCATTCCATTCTTACGATGGAAACTTTTGATCTATTTTCTCTTGGTAGTATTTATAGTATAAACCAGTTTTATTACGGAGAGTGTAAATTATACAAAGTATTTACACATGAAAAAGCTCATATAATTAAACTGAGGTGAATATAATTTAGAACTGTTTCTTTAAGGATTTGTTTTTTGCTCACTTTTTGCTGGAGTATTACTGAAGCTGTGATCAAGGGATTGTAACACACATACCTAGATCAAGTGAACATTACATGAAACATTATATAAGAAACACATAACTAAAGACTTTAGTTTTGAATCTAAGAGTATTATAAACTTTTTAACAAGGACAAAAAAAAATCTTACCTTATCTTTACTGTTTGACTTTAGGATCCAATCAATAAAATTATGTACCTTGAAATACTGCTCTAACAAGTAACCACACACCTAATGGTGACTTTTTAAAGTTTAAGTGTAACTTTTCTTACATACTTGGTATATTTCTTTTTTTTTTTTTTCAGCTTGAGAGCTTATAGTTTTTAGAAGGGAATAGTCTTTTAAATTGTGACTACTCAATTTTTCTTTTTTTTTTTGGTTTCTATTGTCTTTAGTATAATAAAAAAGTTACTGTCTTTACATATCATTGTTATGACTTTGTTTTTGTGACCTGTATCAATTTTGTCTATTAACATACCTTCTTAAATTCAACTGAATTACCAATTATTTTGAATATATAATGGTTTCTTTTCAAAGGACACAATATTGTAACTCTTCCTATAATTTAATCTCATAGTTTTAAAGTTAAAAATTAAGTTCAGGTTAAATAGGTTTTTATCAAGAATGTTATGGGAGAGGGAATAAAATGAAATGATTTAAACTTGGATAAAATAATGAAGTACATTTCTATAAGCACCTGAAAAGTAAATATAACCTAGAGATGTAAACCTAAAATCAGTCAAAAATCTAAAAAAGAGGGCAGCCCCAGTAGCCCAGCGGTTTAGCGCCGCCTTCGGCCCGGGGTGTGATCCTGGAGACTCAGGATCGAGTCCCATGTTGGGCTCCCTGCATGGAGCCTGCTTCTCCCTCTGCCTGTGTCTCTGCCTCTCTCTGTCTCTCTCTGTGTGTCATGAATAAATAAATAAATCTTTTAAAAAAAATCTAAAAAAGAAACCTTAAAGGAAGAAATGAAAAATAAGTACATCAAGGCAGTATATATTATATGAAACGTACATTGTCATTCCTCAACATTTTTGAAAGATGACTTAGAGCAGTATTATTTTCCAAACTTATTTCAACACAGAATTGGTAATATCTATTAATGTACCACCGACAAATGGTGCTGTAGGAGGAATAAAAGACAGCTCTTGTGCAAGCACTAGGGGAAGTTATTTAAAAATGAGATGATTTGGGATCCCTGGGTGGCGCAGTGGTTTGGCGCCTGCCTTTGGCCCAGGGCGCGATCCTTAAGACCCGGGATCGAATCCCACCCCGGGCTCCCGGTGCATGGAGCCTGCTTCTCCCTCTGCCTGTGTCTCTGCCTCTCTCTCTCTGTGTGACTATCAAAAATAAAAAAAATGAGATGATTTTTTTAAGAGTGTGGCCATCAGTAACTAGTTTCAACTAATCATCTCTTAAACTTGACTAATTGGAATCCCCTGACTTAGATAATTGATTTGTTTCATGAGCTCAATATTGGGAACTCATCGTGCACAGGTGCCAACAAATCTTAAGGATTCATAGTTTGATGTTGAAAAAAGACACGTTTGAAAACAAATGTATTATCTGAATGGAATGGGGGTTAAGTTTGGAAATAATTTCTCAGGGAGACCCGATTTGTACACTTGGCTAGGCACAATTGGCAGAGAGGGTAGGATCATCACAGGACATAAAATGGCCTTGGAGGCAGAAAGCATATTGGCTTGCTTAGAGTGAGGGCACCACAGTAAAGGCATTTCCCTATTGATGGAAAAATCTAATTTAGCTGTTTTTTTTTTTTTTTAAATCTATTTATGAGAGACACACGCACAGACAGAGACATAGGCAGAGGGAGAACCAGGCTCCCTGCAAGGACCCCAGGACCAGACCTGAGCCAAAGGCAGACGCTCAACCACGGAGCCACCCGAGGGCCCCTTAGCTGGGGGTTCAGATGTGACGGGAAAGGCACCTGACCCTAGGCAATCCTTGACTGTGCTGGGTTAGACCACAGACTCACTTCAAAGGAGCTGAACAGTACTTCCCTGAAATGTGGAAAGACTACATGGGAGAATTAGCAGTCGCTGCTGCTGCATCAAGTGCCAGCCAGATTATACAACAGCAGTAGCCGCAGAATACGGTAAAAAAAAAAAAAAAAAAAAAAAAAAAAAAAAAAAAGAAAAAGAAAAGAAATCAGACAGAAATGAAAAGATGAGCAAGGCTAAATAATTGCATGGGCCTTTCTGCCCTGTGCCCAGATTGTGGGGCTTTGTAACTCTCCAAACATTCCAAAAGGACAAGGGACAACGAGGAAAAGAATTAACGTAGAAAAAGAAGCGAACAGAGAACAGTAGGCCCCAGGCGAGAAAATACCAAACACACTCAAAGGACTCAAACCCGGCAGCCTAGGCTTCAGCGGCAATCACAAGCCGCAAAGGCCCAAAGCCCATACACATTCCTTTTACAGGAACCACCGGGCCGCGGTCATAGCTTATAAGCCGTTAAAAAGTCCTCAGCAAGCAGAACGAACGCCCATCTCCTGCCCCCGAAATGCCAGGGGGTTCCCCGGTCCCCAAAGGCGTTGCGCTCGGCAGCCGGCGCCAGCCCCAGCCCATCGCACACACTGAACGACCTTTCCCTGCAACACGCTGGGGCTCTGGGCTCACAGAACCCCCAACCCGGTGACCCTTGTGACCTCCTCTCACCGGGCGCCCGCTCCCGAGCGGATACGGACCCCGCAGGCGAGCTGCGCCGTGGCCGCCGGAGGTGCGCCGCCGAGGCTCACCCACCGGGCCCAGCCGCTCAGCCCCGCGCAGGACCTGGGCGCAGCTGCAGCTCCCCCAGGCCCCCCGCCCCCCCACGTCGTCCGCGCAGGCGCACCGCGTCCGGCGCCGCGAGGCCGCAGCCGGAAGTGCCCCTCGGCGCCCCGGATGCGCCCGGGCGGCTGTGGTTGCCAGGGCGACGGGCGCTCCCCGGAGCGGCTGGTCCTTGCGCCCGGAGAACTCTTAGACCAGGTTTCCTTTGGCGGGCCCGGGCGGTTGGGCTCGTCCTCTCGGAGTTCCCAGAATGTTCTTTTACCTGAGCAAGAAAGTGAGTTTTCCCCGCGGGGGCCCTCGCTTCCCCTTGGCTCTGGCGACCCGCGGGCGACTCCCGCACCCTGCGGCGGCATCTGGCGTCCTGATGCCAGCTTCGCCTTTTCCCGCCTTCCACCCTCCTGCGTCGTCCAGCCTCGGACGGTCCCGAGCCCCGATCGTCCTCGGCGGAGCCCTCAGCCCTCCGGGGATGGCCCCGCTCTCCCATCCCTGCCCCCGCCAGCCCTGCAGGTCGCTGCGTGTCTCTCTCTCTCTTCCTCCACCTATTGTGTTGTCCAGGTGACTTAAAGTCTTTGGAGTCTCATCCCGAGAGAAAAGTAATCATAAAAGGGTAGCCCTGGTGTTGGCGTGTGGAAAGGGAATATGGACCGATGGTCTGGGTTTATACCTCTTCCTTCCCTTCTTTCCCGTAAAAAATTCATCAGGTGCCCCCCCCCCCGCCCCCCATGTTCCTCCGCAGTCAATGCCCTAACTCGGTGCACTTCCTTCTCTCTTTCCCAAATGTAGGGCGCCAGGCAGGGCCGAGGGGATCGTGCCATGGCCCTTTTCAGAACAGCTTACGCTTTTTTTTTTTTTCTTCTGGGGGGCGGTGGAGGGTGGGGTGGGGGTGGGGTGGTGGATTTTCTTCGGCCCTCATCTGTAACTCGCTAACCAGCTCCTTCGTGGAAAGCTGTGCAAGCGGCCGTGGTTGCTTTTCAGATTGCCATTCCCAATAACGTGAAGCTGAAATGTGTGTCTTGGAACAAGGACCAGGGATTCATAGCATGTGGTGGTGAAGACGGATTACTGAAAGTTTTGAAATTGGAGACCCAGACAGGTAAATGAATGCAAGCCCAAGTGTTTGAACCTGATGGAAAATTGGCTAGTTATCATTTGTTCAGTGAGATTTGCTCACGGAGTTTGTCACTATGCGATTTTAATTCTTTTAAAACGAGAAAAAGACAAAACAAAACTCCCAAACGTTTAGTGGTGTTTTGGCAGTAAGTCAGTTCAGAGAAAGTAAAATGTAAAAATCAGATGGCTTTTTCTGAAGTTATTGATGGAAAAGGGAAAAGAATGAAGAATGAGAACTAAATCACTGTGCTGCCTTTTGCTCTGTTTACTGTGCCCTATTATTTGGAGTCTAATAAAAATGATGTGAATTCGCATTTTGGTAAGGTCACAGAATCTCACATTTTGTCAGATTATTTGCAGGCCTGGATCATCCTTTCTGGTTCTCAGGTGTGTTAATAATTATTCACCTACTTCCCAAGAACAGAAAACGAGACTTATAAAAATATTTTTTATCAATACATTTCTTGTGATTGCAGCTTGATTTCTCTTTTTTTTTTAGTTCTCTGGAATCATAGCAAACAGTTTCACATTTCCTTTAGCATCTGTAGTGTTGCTCTAGAATGGAGAGCTAGACAATCCTCCATCTACGTTGGAGATCTAGATGAGATTGGAGTGGGGATCTCAGCTCTGCCATGCTGAATGACTTTCAGAAAGTTGGTGAATGTCTTTGGGTTTAAGTGCACTCTTCTGTAAGATAAAGGGCCTAACTAAATTCCGTTTTGGATTCAAAAGCTCTACACTGCAGCCCCAGAGCCTTTGCACTTGCTATTTCTGAGCCTGGACTACCCTCCCTTTCTCCATCTTTTCCCCACCTCACTTGGCTATCTCCAGTTTATTCATCAGTCTCAGTTTAAACATAATTTCTTTAGAAAGTCTTCCCTAGTTCTCCCTCCCTCCCTCTAATCTAAATTAATCTCCCTCTGTTACTATCTCTTTATTATGCCTTTACTTCCTCAATTTTTAATTTTACATATATGCATATATATTTATGGGAGGGGATGAATGAGTAAATATCTATTCCCTCAGTAGACTGCAAACTCTCTGAAGGGAGAGGCCTTAATATTTTGTGTATCATTTTATATTCAGAAGCCTCCACAGTGCATAGCACAATGTAGACATTCAGTGAATGAACTAACGAATAAAAGATTCTGCAAAATATAGTAAAAACCAATTTCCAAAGTCTTTGCTTTCTGATCCCTCTTATGCTTTAGAATTTTCAGTCTCTATGTCATAAATATTTCTATTTGTGATCTTTTGGGAAAGAATAAGTAGCAATAATAATTACTAATATATTTAACATACTGGGTAAACAATGCTTTTTTTAAAAATATATTTTGCTTTATATTGTCAGAATAATATCTTTATAAGGGGGCACATATTATTGTCCATGTTTCTACCATGAGAAATATAGATCAGAATGAGGCATACTTAAAAAAAACTTTCTAATATCATCCAGGGATAGAAACTCCTTTCAAAATAAGCAAGAAATGTCAAAGTCTTATAATTAATAAGTCTTATTTAATATATTTGCCATAATATCTTTTTTTCTAGATGATGCAAAATTGAGGGGTCTTGCAGCCCCTAGTAACCTTTCTATGAATCAGACTCTCGAAGGTCATAGTGGTGAGTCATGTAATTTTTAAAATCATATTTGAATAGTCTCTAGGCATTTAGAAACCATCTGCTTAAGGCAGAAATGTTATCATTTTTAATAATGGTGATATTTAGAGTAATCATTTCTGTTGAGCATAATTAGTTAATTGAGCCTAGAGTCCTTCAACAACTTTTACATGATTAAACAATATCTTCAGTAAATCTGAAACAAAGTAGGTCTTATTTTATATATTTATATATTAAAAAAATACTGTTATTTGTCTATGGATAGAATCCTTTTTTAGAATCTGTCCTATGGTTCCAGAGGAGAGTGGACTTAAAGAGATATGACAACTGAATGCACTATATGATCCTAGATGAGAAAAACAAGTATCTATAAAGGACACTATATACATATATATATATATATATATATATTTATTTTTTTTTTTTTTAAGATTTTATTTATTTATTCATGAGAGACACAGAGAGAGAGGCAGAGAAAGAGGCAGAGGGAAGAAGCAAGCTCCCTGCAGGGAGCCGGATGTGGGACTCAATTCCGGGACCCTAGGATCACGCCCTGAGCCAAAGGCAGACACTCAACCGCTGAGCCACCCAGGCGTCCCAATAAAGGACACTATTTGAACAATTGATAAAATTTGAATATGGACTGGCATTAGATAATAACATTGTATCATTGTTAAGTTCCCTAATTTGTAATATGGTTATGAAAGAGAATGTCTTCTTAGGAAATACACTAAAGAATTTAGGGATTAAAAAAAAACTAAAAAAGAAACAGTTGTTCCTATAACCCAGAAGTTTAACATATGCTCAAGAGTATATTACTAATAGAATGGAAAACAAGAGGGGGAAAAAGAAATTAGGGCATATATCAACCACAGATGGTCCCCACTCCCCTAAAAAAAACCCCAGGTAATTAGTATGATGTCCTTTGGGCATTATTATCCTTGGGAGTCATGCCAGTTGGGTAAATCTTACTTATATGTGTTTCTGTCATTATATCTATGGCAGCTCTTGCATCTGACCATAATAGGTGCCTCTGCTGGCCTGAAATAGGAACAAACGTGAAAGTTAGTATCACATGTTGTAGGAAATGAGTAACAAGTTCCTATGAATATTTTTGAGTGATATTAAAGATGGGTTAGTTGCACAGGAACTTTATTGATTTTAATATGCATTTGATGTTTATTATAAAAATACAAATTTGAAATTGTAAACTTGGGGGATCCCTGGGTGGCGCAGCGGTTTGGTGCCTGCCTTTGGCCCAGGGCGCGATCCTGGAGACCCGGGATCGAATCCCACGTCGGGCTCCCGATGCATGGAGCCTGCTTCTCCCTCTGCCTGCGTCTCTGCTCTCTCTCTCTTTCTCTCTCTCTCTCTCTCTCTCTCTCTGTGACTATCATAAATAAATAAAAAAATAAATAAATAAAAAATGAAATTGTAAACTTTTTTTTAGTTTCTAAATTGTTTTATAATTTTTTAGGTTCTGTTCAAGTTGTAACATGGAATGAACAATACCAGAAGTTGACTAC